GCTGTAAAATACAGGGTGTTTTAGTAATAATGTCATTAATTTTAAGGGAAGATAGGGAAAAATTAGTAGAATACCTTCTTACACTGAAAAAAATATTTATCATTATCTAAACCTCTTTTCGGAGCGCTCCTGACTGCTGACCTACATCGAGATCGAATCTTGGCCTACCGTACTGTTTGGTCACTAACCTAACTTTAATACCTCTTCTTAAGGTTTTCACTGTTTTATAATTGAATATGAGTTTTTATTATTACATAATATGTCCAAGTAGTAGGTAATTATTCAGTTTGTAGAACGTATACCTTATTGTGAAACTTATTGCTTTTTAGAGTTATACAGGGTGTTAATTAAGTATGTACAATAAATTTAACAGACACTTATTTGAGTGATTTTAAGACAAGAAGTTCAGGGTGCTAAAATTTTGTAAAAAAATTGCTATTTCGCAAATATCTTAAACACCCTTTATCCAATTTTGTTGTAACTTGTATTTGTAGTGTTAAGGTGCTAATTTCACCCTGACTTGATTAGATTTGTTAAGTCCAGTGGCGTCCCAAGCGGTACCTTAACGAATATTTTTGACAAAAAAAATATACGCCACTGACTTTTTTGTTATTTTTATATTTTCTTGGATTAAGCAACTAAAAAAACTTTTTTGTCTCTGGAATGTTTTTCATATCTTGATTAATTTTTGAAGAAAAAAAAATAAAATCCACTTAATTATATATCACTGGACCACACAAGAAACATTATGAAAAATACTCGTTAAAGTACCGCTCGGGACGCCACTGGACTTAACAAATCTAATCAAGTTAGGGTGAAATTAGCCCCTTAACACTACAAATAAAACTGCCAAATTACAACAAAATTGGATAAAGGGTGTAAGATATTTACGAACTAGCAATTTTCTTACAAAAGCTTAACACCCTGAATTTTGAAAACGAAGCATCTGCGGACCAATGTCTATATGAACTTTTTGTCTTAAAATCACTAAAATAACCTTTTGTTGAATTTATTGTACATACTTAATTAACACACTGTATAGTGTACTTATTTCAAATGACAAATAAGGCTAAAAAACACTTACTCATTCGTCCATAAAGTCTTAATAAAGTTGATATTCGTTGCACTTTGATTTTGAACGCAATTCTAAAACTGGACTAGATTACTACTAACTAGGAAATCAGCTGTTTCGCTACAATGTCCGAGTGCTGTGTACCCCACCGGCCTGCGCGGCGCATTCCCTATTACAAAGTGGAGCGCCGAGTTAACAGGAGTTAAGGGTTAATTTGCTTATTTTTTAAAAGATTGAGAAAAATTGTTTATTTCAATTTTCTTCTTTATTGGGCCTTCAGAACACGTGGTTAAAATTAATGACATTATGATTGAAACATCCTTTTCGAATGCCTTTGACAGAATGCACCTCAATATACTTTTACATACACTTGTGGTGGCTTATGTATTCTGTCATAATTTGTTGAAGTTTTTTAAGTCATATTTCTCGATTCGCCTGCATAACGTCACTTACAATGGATTTAAATCTAGCCGTTATCGTACTATCGTTTCTTTTACAAGTAACGAAATTACTGCCTTTCTCAACTGCCATAAATTAATACACGCGGACTTTTTCTATTGTGTCAAGTGCTGATGATTGTCAAGATACAAATACGCTCTTCAAGAATGTTGTGTACGTACCAGTCTCCATTCATTCTCAAATTTATTGGAATAATGGGACCCCCACCAAAGCTAATGTTTTGAGCAAGATTACATTATGTAAAACGTTCCCCAAGCCTTCTGCATACTCGACCACGTTCATTTAGCTTCTACAATTGTATTCCTGTTTCGTCTGTGAAAAGGACTTTTTCCCATTGATGTTTATTCCAATTAGAATCGGCTTTTGCAAATTGTAACCGTCTGGGTTTGTGACGTGGGAGAAGCCTAGGAACTTTAGTAGGATGTTTCGGATTTAAATCGCTTTCTTTAAGTCTCCTTATTACTGTTTTAACACTTACTTTGACTTGTCTTGAAGTCAGTAATTCATTTTTCAGATGCGGAGCTGTAAGTGAGGTATTTCGCAAAAATTGAATTTTCTAATTTTGATCATCTCTGGGTGTTGTACATCTTTTACGTCCTTGATCAGGCCGTCTTTTGTATTCTCTAGTCTCATTCTATCGTTTTACTATACGAGGAACAGTCGCTTGATGAATATTCGATCTCCCCGCAATGTCTTCTTGTCTGTAAGTCTTGTTGGCTAAAGTAACAATTTTAAAGGAAACTAACTCGCTTAAATGTGGCATCTCACTAACCAAAACTACCGAAATAAGAAATAAAGCACTAGAAATGTCATTCACATCAAAATAAACAAAACAGCAGCAGTTGTCGGTCACCAAGACACACAATGATATGTTTGTAATTCGTAACATTATTCAGCTGTAAATAATGCTATTCCTAAACAGTTTTTTATCCCCAATAAATCCATATACTTTTATGATACGTCAGTGCAGGGTATCTAGTATAAAATATAGAATATCAGGTTGAAAAGAAACACGGAATTTAAAACGCTGTACAAATTTTCATTGCAATTAGAAATAAAGTAAAAAAAAGAAAAAATGTATGCATAATGGACATTTTACGGTCATTTCAATTTTGCAGGAAATTGACAGTTATACAATGCGACTTACTTTTCCAATATTTTACAATACACAATACAATATAGACAATAAAATTCAATATTTAAAAAAGTGGGGTCACTTCCTTGCGACTATTAGTATCCAATCAAATAATAAAGGCAAAAGAATGTTATCAAGTCTATTAAACCAACCGTTGCAATTTTGTCAGGTTCGTGACACCATAGAATATTAATATAAATTAATGTAATTTTGATAACTTGTTAACATGTCCGCCATTTGTTTGATCTGTTTTATTTAGCAGCAAATTGAAATATGACAAAAAATTTAATATCGATGTAATTTAAATTCCGGAAATATTATATAGGAATAATTATAATGTTATCTAATCCTCCTTTAATGATACGGAATTACACAAATTACATATCCCATTTTTGCATCATATATACAGGGTGTTAAAAAAGAGTGTAAAATATTTAAGGAGGTAATAGTATGAACTAAAATAAGCAGAAAAGTCTCAATAAACATGGGTCCGCAAGGTCGGTATCCACTCCTAGAGCAGAAGAAGAAATTCTAGCACTGGTAGAGCAGAATCCAGGTACGAGTGTGCGGAGAATATCAGCCGAGGTAGGAATTAGTGGTCCTCTTGTTTGGAGAATCCTTCACGAGCAACTGCTTTATCCATACCATGTGCAACGAGTACAGGCCTTAAATCCAATAAATGATCATCAAGCACGTTTGTTTTTTTGCCGCTGGTTTCTACGTCATGATGCTGAATACCCTCGTTTTCTTGCAAACATTCTTTTTACTGACGAGGCCGGGTTCACAAGAAATGGAGTGTTTAATTTTCACAATACGCATATTTGGGCCGACGAAAATCCTCATGCTCTAATAGAATCTGGACATCAGGCACGTTTTTCATTAAACATTCGGATAGGTATTGTGGGTGACAGGTTTCTAGGTCCTGTTGTTTTGCCAAACTGATTAACAGGCGCTGCTTACCTCAACTTTCTGCAGAACACACTGTATGAGTTTTTGGAAGACATTCCTTTGAATCAGAGGCAACAAATGTGGTTCCAGCATGTTGGTGCTCCAGCTCATTTTTTCATGGCCGTTAGAGAGCATTTACACCAAACTTTTCCACATAGATGGGTAGGATGGGCCGGACCTGTTTTATGGCCTCCAAGATCGCCTGATCTGAACCCTCTAGATTTCTTTGTTTGGGGATATTTGAAGACATTAGTGTATGGTACTCCTGTAAATAGCCTGGAAGAGCTGCAGCTACGGATTAATCAAAAGTGTCAAGAAATCCAAACCAAGGAGGGTGTTTTCGAAAGAGTTCGAATATCGTTGAGACGAAGATGTCGTGCCTGCTTGGAAATGGACGGAGGGCACTTTGAACATCTTCTGTAACTTTGTTTTTTGTTTGTTAAAAGCTTCCTTTGTCGGTTTATTCCTAAAATAAAAAAAACGAATAGTGGTCCATATCTCCGCAACCGGTACTTTGCGGACCCATGTTTATTAAGACTTTTCTGCTTATTTTGGTTCATACTATTACCTCCTGAAATATTTTACACTCTTATTTTAACCCCCTGTATATTTTGGACTTATCATAATTATTTATGAAAATATTCCACTTAACATACACTATATGTGAATGTTATACATATTTAAAAATCATTTTCCTTTCCTGAACAATTTACATATTATTTGCGTTTATTCTCTTCTTACACAAGGGTCTACAATAATTATAGTTACCGTTTGGAAAAATCAATATTTTTTCAATATCAAAATTTGTAATGACGTTTCTTTTTTAAGTAGATAGAGCATTAAATCAGTGATTTTGTGACAAAAATACTGGTAGCAAACGGACTGTGCCATCATATAAGACAGTCTGTAGATATATGCTTATATGTTTCCTATTCCAATTTACCATTAATTATTTTTCTATAAACATTTTTATGCAAAAACGCATTTTTCTAGTTTTTTCATTATAACAGCATTCAGGTTGCTTCGTTAGTTTAGGTTTTATAAGCAAAAAACTAAAAAAAAATGTTTTTTGCATAGAAATGTTTATAAACAATGAATGAATGGTAAATTGGAGTAGGAAACATATTAGCATATATCTACAAACTGTCTTCTATATGATGGCGTAGTGCGTTTGCTCTATTGATTGACCTAATGATGTTTCTGGGACCCAGCCATGTCAACTGGCCGTTAATTTTTTCGCCCTCTATTTCCATGAATTATTTTGAGGGAGAAATTGTTGAAACAAAATTCAAATATTTTGCACATTAACTAACTATGATCTATGCTTTCTCGATATGAATTGAAAAAGATATGTTAAATAAAATAATATAAATAAATCTGTCTCACCGTATCCCCATATTTGCTCACACTGCAGTGTCAACGTCGGACAAACTCCGTTGAAACAATATCCAGTGCCCTTTCCGCATGGGCTGCCGTTCTTCTTAAATATGTCAGACGGACACTCTCCTGTATCCCCGGAGCACTGTTCCGGCAGATCGCATTCGTTATTGGCTTCTCTGCACACGACCCCTTTTTCCTTCAGCTGACAGTCTTCGCAACACGGCCCCGATGCACATTGGGCTTCCTTGGTCAACTTGCAAGTGATCGGATCACAGCAGGGATCCACCTTGTGGCAGTTGTCGATGCTGCCGCAATCACAGTCCTCGCCCTCTTCTACTACGCTATTACCGCAGGTTCGTCTCACCTGAAAATTTTACGTCGTTAGTCATACAGGATGTTTGGAATATAGTGCAACAAGTTCTGATACTCGGCAGTTTTATTGAAAAATATATAAAGAGATGTTTGCAAGTGAGGCGCACAAAACAAAAAAGTGGTCTGTTCTTTTGATCAGACATTGTTATTGGTTATGTTCTCAACTTCTACTATTTTCGAGAAAATGACCCTCAAGTGCTCAAAAATGGGTAAAAGTTAATGTTTAATCATACAATATTATTTAAATAACAATTGCTATATAATAAATGTTCAATGTTTTGTCGGTTTACTTCAATACATTTTTGTAGTCGAAAGATTGTTTCTCGTTGAACGTTATCAATTACCTCCGCTGGAATAAGTCTTAATTCCTGGAGTATTCTCTGTTTCAGGTCATCAAGGTTATTTGGTATATTCATATAAACGTTTCAAATAACCCAATAAGAAGAAATCTAAAGGGGTTAAATCCGGTGACCTTGGTGGCCACTCAATAGGACCTGTACGTCAAATCCATTTATTGGGGAAAGTTAAGTCAAGAAATTGTCGAACAGCAATTGCAAAGTGAGGAGGTGCCCCATCGTGTTGGAACCATTGTCATTATGAGGAATATCTGGATCTTGCGGATTAGGGAACACAATAGTAAAGCGGTGATAAGTTCAAACTGAAGAAAGTCTAAGCAGCGTTCTTTATTTAAATTTTCTTAAAAAAAATAAGGTCCAAGAATTTGGTTTTCGACAGTACCTGTCCAAACATTTATTTTTTGCAGTGTGTGACAGGTTTGTGTCCAACGAGGATTTTCAGTTGCCCAGTATCTGCGGTTTGTCTGTTTACGTGTCCATTTAAAACAAAAATAGCCTCATCAGAAAATATCGGGTGAATTTTAAGTTTTGATTATTCATCTCAATCATCTGCTCACAAAACTGCGTTCTTCGGTCAAAATCGTCTTCTAATAGTTCATTTATCAATTGAACCTATAAGGATGATATTTATTTTATATTGTATATTAAAAAATATAAAATTTTTTAGAAAAAGTAGATATTTTTTTCATGTATAACGTCTCAAATATGAATGATTTAGGATTAGGTCCAATTTTAAAATTATTCTTATACCCTTTGTCCTTGCAGTTCTCATTTTTGAAATAATAAAAAGTTAAAGTTTAAAAATATATGTATATTCTCTTTCTGAATAGGTACCTTCTGAAACGTATGTGTTAAGCTAGTGGCGCAGAGATTTGCTGGTTACAATTTTTTGTAATTCTTCGGTACAGTTATAAATTTTCTTTGGCCATTTTTGAAATGTATATTTTATTTTAAACGAAGTTTTGCATAGTTTTTTAATGTTTTGGTGCAAATTTTATAATTTGTAAAGAAGGTGCTCCTTCTCATATATCCTCTTGGGTACCCTTAAATATTTTTGTATTTTATCTGTTGATACTATTATTTTTTAATTCTTACATCCTCTATTTAAAAAAACAGGGTCTTTAGACACAAATGTTTATACAGTGTGTCTCATAATTAGCTGCCAGCCCTGAACAGGCCGATTCTATGATCAAAACAAAGTAAAAAAGTTCATATGAACATGGGTCCGGAAATGCTTCCTAAGGGCACAGGGACCCATTGAAGAGGGAGGAATTGAAATAATTTTTTTGCAATATCTCTCAATCGCGTTGTGATAAATGAATGAAATTTGGTACACACAGCTAAATTTTGATGAGCAATTTGATGGACTAATCCATTTATTTCCACAAGGTCCATTGGGGTGGGTACGGGGGGGCCCTTGGTACTTTGCGTGTGTAACTTTTTCATCTTTGACTTTTTAACAAATTGGACAGCAAATTCCGTTTTCCCGAACTGTTTTACGTTAAAAAGGTACTCTTGTTTCAAATCGTTATCTTTAACGGTTTCTGAGAAAATCGCTCTTGAATTAATCCCACTTTGGTCAATTTCATAGTAATTTAAAAAAAAATAATAATAATTTAATACGTAATCAGTAATACACATTATTGATGTAGAACAATTATGATATGATGATTTGTTTATGGCTTTTGCGATGGTAATGCTGCGCGGCAGAACGCGAGTACGGCAGAAAGTTTCCAAACAGAAGGCTGACATCAAGGAGGACATTCCCTACGGTATTCCGCAATTTAGCTGCAACCGTCACTTTTCGAAGGGATCATAAGATGAAAACTTAATTTTGATAACAGACAACAAGCTATTTTAAAAACTGTTCAAAAAACTCTCCACCTTCTCTGATACAAAGTCTTGCCCTACGTGTAACATTCTCGAAGCTATTAAGATGCTAAAACGGTTTTGACGAATTTCATTGGCTGCATCATTGATACGCTGCAGCAATTCCTCACGGGTATCGACTTCGGTGGCGTAAACCTTTTGATTTAGATATCCCCAGAAAAAGAAGTCCAGCGGGGTTAGGTCGGGAGAACGCGGCGGCCAAGCTACCGGTCCGTGCCTCCCTATCCAACGTCCAGCGAAATTTTCGTTTAGGAAATTTATAACATTGCGACCACTATGTGCCGGGGCTCCATCGTGTTGAAAAAACATGTTACGTCGTAAATTTAGAGGCAGATCATCGATTTTCTTGAAGTAAGTTTAAATAAAGATTTGAATAGTGTCGTGAATTATTCCCGCCCATAAATTTATGGAAAATTCATTATAGCCATCAACGGCAGATGAACCATGGGGACTTTCCAACCCTGTATAAGAAAATATTTATTTCTAAATGTGGGATACGAAAACTTTCCTTCATATTTGACATGTTTGTGTTACACTCGGTATAAATCTTTCATTTTCCACATAACTACATAGTGTTCTACGGATTTCAATTGATTTTTAGAAAATCAGTTACAATTTGTTCTTAATTGTGTTAGAAAGCTGTTGAATTTTCAACTTTTCATTAATGCTTAAAGTACCCACTGACTGAAGGGTAATGCTTTGTTGTAAAAATTGAATCAAAACTATATTAAAACATCAGGGCATTTTATGCACGATGAATTGAAAATTTACTTTGTAGACGATATGGCAAACATACATCAACGTTGGTGTTGGTAATATGCACGCATGGTTTGACACATCTTATGTATATATTACATACATCAAACTAAAGCCAATGTTGACAGTGGATCACACCCGCGTAGAATGTAGGAACGCCAATACACGTATATAGAGGATTAATCATTTAAGTTCATTTGATGAAGCTAAATTTCTCGATATCTCCAAAACAAGGTTACTATGAAACAACATTTTCTTATTCGGTACTTGTCGGTCAGGATAATCGATCTGATTATCGTATACTTGCAACAGCATCATTTTCTCGAAAACTTCCACATCAACTCTTTTTTGATTCGAATACATGTTTTTTCATAATATCATACAGAAACTTGAAAATGAAAACACTGAAATACACTGTACCGTCACTAAACACTGAAATAAGGTTAGACACTTAACAAAATGAATCGTGATGTAATTTTAATTCTATTTATGAAATGTGCCGTTCTAAATAGTTCTTTATTGAGTAACAAAATTAACTTTCGCGATGAGACAAATGTAGTAATTGGGATAGGAGAGGAGCATAGTTCTATTGAGGACGAATGAAAGGAATGGGAAAGGTGTGTGCAATGTATTGAAAGGCATTCTATCAAGCTGCGTAGATATTTTACGGAGAATAGCTCTGCTTTCCGGGATTGTAATAATAACCCGTGAAATGAGGTATTATGGAGGATTACTGGCATACCCTTATTTTTTTCTGATGGCGAAAGAAAGATTAAAAGTTTTTCAAAATATGTTTTCATATTCAGGGTTTTATTACTTTTTAATGTTTATAGAAAATGAGAGGTTCGTTCAAGAATAAAAATCTGATAAAAATGCTAAATTTTGTTAAAAATAAAACTGGTTTCTTATCCCTTTTGTAGAATGAGAGTTATTCGGAATTTGGTTATATGTGAATGAGGTGATTTTTATTAGAATATCCAAAAACTTATTTAACCTTTATCCAATTTGTTTATACAAGATGTAATTAACGGTTAATGCTCAGTGCGTAAAAAGCGTAACACATTTTTCTAGCAGTATTCAAGAAAAGTTTTGAAAGATTTCAATTGAATCAATCTTACGAAAGAATTTTATCCTCAGCAATATGATGTCTCTTAAGCTTGATAAAATGTAAAATTTAACAGCAAAAACAGTTGTTACTAGTATATTTATTATCAAAATGCCGATTTTTTCAAAAAATTGCTTAACAGACACAAAAGATTTTATTGGAAATAGTCATTTTCTTTCTGTAGGTAAGAGATCAAGGTGAGTGAGTGAGGTGAGTCTTTTTGGTAACTTTATTCGAATTTTACGTGCAGGTAAATGTTCATAACATAGAACTGTGCTTTTTTAATTATTCTTGGCTAATTAGAAACTTTGTTTTCTCGTTTTAAGTACCTATAAAAGATTGTGGTATCTCTACAAGCATAACTATTTTTAATTTTGATCTTTAGTTGGTTAGTTAGTTAGTTAGTTAGTTAGTTAGTTAGTTAGTTAGTTAGTTAGTTAGTTAGTTAGTTAACATAATTAAAAATTACTTCTAGACATTTTTTAGTGTAAAATCTAATTCAAGTTAGTTCTAAATTTGCTCCTAAATACCCGGAGCAACAATTTCAGTCAATTGAATCGGGCTTTAGTATACATGTTGATCATTGGATTGACTGTCTCTTCCATAAATTTTATCAACATTCATTTCTTTCGAGTTATTTTTTTTTGATAGTACCATTCTACATACCCCCGTTACCCCGTTATAAAGTGCAATAAAATTTCTAGTACCTATAGTCTTTCCAATCTCAATTGAAGAACCAAGAGTTTGGCAGTATATACCAGCATTGCAATATTTGACAAATTTGTTCTCATATTTATTTAACCATACCCATATACAGGTCTGGTCGAACTAAACGTGGAGGTGGTAGAAATGTATACGCCCAGTTGAAGAATACGCGCGCGGGCA